CTCTTCTTCCATAACTACGCTCTCCAGGAGGTAAGGGGCAGCGAGGTTGTTTCCAGCATCACCTTTCTCGGAGGAGTCATCCGATTCACTGCGTGACTCTGCATCAAAGAAAGGCGGTGGCATCGTCCCACGTGTAGCGTCCCGCCATGGAAAAAAACACTCAGCGGAGCTGCTGCCAACAACGCCTTTTTCGAGGGAATCATCCAATTCACCACGAGGAAAACACGTTAGAAAAGGCGGTGGCGTCATCAAGCGAGTAGCGGCCCGCCACAGAAAAGCACTCCTCGGCGCTTACCTTGAACAAGGCTGCTCGTCTCTGCTTCTCCTCGGTGAGGAAGAGCTCACCGGGACGGCAGGAGGTTGGCGTGGCGGAGACCCAGGCATCCTTAGCAAAGGTTGTGCCGGTCAAAGCTGGACAACTTTACCTTCTTCGTTCTTCTGACAGTGCTATCTATCTGGCTGAAGAAAAAAATGGGAGCCGATTACCCGGTCTCACCGTAATTTATATGGATTGGGGGTGAGGCCCACACAGCAGGTGGGCGTGGACTAAAGTTTTCAGTGATGCGCTGCACGCGAAGGGATAAACCCACTAGCGATAGCCTTAAAGGGTGAAGCCTATACGAAATAGAACAGTAGCATTTAAACAACCTTTATCAGGTAATTTATATTGGTCCAGAGCAATAACACAAGCTGTAGGAGTTTTTACAGCTCCGGATCTACGTCCGAATGCTGTTGATGCACCGGCTTTAAAGTTATTGAGCCCTGCTACAACATCCCATCACGTCAACACTTCAGCCAAAAAATTGTAGCAGCACTTAGTGAAAAAGCTAAAACTGATATTGTCAACAAGCCCTGGACCAGATTAAAGCCCTGCCCTGATGATGATGATGATCAAGAAAATATTCAACCACCTCATAACAATCGTTCAAGAAGAGGTTTTGTTCTTTTATTATTATTATCTAATTAACTTTTTTTTATTTAAAAGTATAATCTTATTAACTCTTTTTTTTTTTACCTATTTGTGTTTTTTTTTCCAGTCTGGGACAGAGATAGCAGCTGAGTTTTCTTCCTCTTCAGGGAAATCCACCAGAGATCACTTCCAGCTAAGAAGTCTGTGATGACTGAACTCTGAACTTTTCCAGGGACAGGTGGGAACAGGTCCAAGAAGAGGTTATGAGTATTGAAGCCAAATACAGCCACACTGCAAAATTATCAAAGTGCTACCTCTCTGTTCCTGCCACCTGTTGTTAGTGAGCGGTTTTCTCCACCGCTGGAGATATTCACTGCAACTTTTGGCAGAAAATGTTGACAAGTTGGTCTTTTTGGCCAAAAACTTAAAGCTTGATTAGTCAGATTGTAAGCAATCTTTTGCTGCTTATTGTTCTGGTTCTGACTATTATTGTATTTATTAAGATTTTAAGATTTTTATTATTGTTAGTATAGTTTATTTGTTGTAAAGAGTGCAGTTTATTTAAAATATCATCCAAATGGGTCGCTTTTATTTATTTTTATACAAATGTATTGTTTACTTGGCGAATTTTCAAAATAAATGTTTTGTAAGTCTTCATTTTGTCTTTTTTTTGTACCGAAAATTAACCAAACCGAACCCTCCTTGAAATTGAACCGAACTGTAATGTGATTTTAGCGTACTGTTACACCCCTAACATATATATATATATATATATATATATATATATATATATATATATATA